TTTAATGCTCTGCTGTTCTTAATTTGAACTTCTTAATAATTTTGTCTTTGATCTTGTGTTTTGTAAGCAAATGCATATGGCACAATGGAGCATATGTATGAGAAAAGGAAGATGTACACAATATGCGCTTCTGCCACTGTTCTGTAACACGGCGTCTGCAGTTCTCCATGAACACATAATTCTAGTGGATTCATATATTAGTTTTGTAGATTGTGTAATAGATTACCACAAACTTGGTCGTTTAAAACACACGTTGTTATCTAACAGTTTCGGGAGGTCAGGAGTCTAGGCATCGTCTGAGTTTTCTCTTTAGGGGCTCACAAGGCTGTGCTCAAGGCTGGCTGGCTGCAGTCGCACTTGGAGGCTTGATGAGGAAAGGATCTGCTTCTGAGCTCCTTCTGATTCTTGGCATAATTCATTTCTTTGTGACAGTAAAGCTCATGGCAGCTTGCTCCTTCAAAGCCTCGAAGCAGTGGGGAGAGGCAGTGGAAGAGAGTGTGGAAGAAGGAGAGGGAGGAGAAAGAGAGGGAAGGGAAGAGAGAAAGGGAGGGGGAAGGGGAGAGGGAGGGAGAGGAAAGAGAGAGAGAGGGAAGGAGAGGAAGGAAGAGAGGGAGAGACATTATTGTTTGTAGTTTCTGACTTCTAAATCCTCTGTCAAGGGGCTTGTCTGATTAGGTAGGGGCCACCTAGGATAATCACCCTTTTGATTAACTTAGAGTCAACTGATTTGGGACATTAATTATATCTGCAAAGTCCCTTCACCTTTTCCATTTAATGTGACATAATCATAGGAGTGATATCCCATCACACTCAGAGGTCCCACCATATTTAAGTACGGGATACACCAAGGGGAAGCCCATCTTAACATTCTACCTACCACGGTCCATGATCTGGAGAAGTTCCTCAAGACTCAAGGTGAATACACTGTAAACATGTTCCATTTATAAATGAGACAGCAGGCGTGCCAAGAGCCCCAAGAGCCCCAAGGGCCATATTTTCTTTACAAACCAGAACTTGCTTTGATTGTGAAAATAAGTCTGTCGGTGGACTCTTAAGAAACACAAACATCCAGAAACCTATTATGTTCTTTCTTACTTGTGTAAGTTCCCTGGATGAGCAACCATTTATGCTGAAAATGATAAGAGAGAAAGAAAGGGAAAGACAGTGTAACCTGCAATTCCTTTTCTTACTCATCAGTAAACAAAGGTAAAGAACGTTGGTTTAAAGAAATATTTAAAGAATGTGCGTGTATCAGGAAGCGAAATAATAATGTTTGTGTTAGTTTTGTATGGATTTTCCACTGTTTTGGTGAGAATTTAATGCATATTCATATACAAGCTATGAAAAAAATATAATTCTATAATTTTGGTAATTCCATGTATGAGTTAAATGCTCTTATATTTGCATTTAAGAGTGGTATTGCACAATGTAAAGATAATTGGTAAAATTTAACTAATAATTGGCAAACTTTATACTAATAATTGTAATTTTTCTTTACTAGAATAACATTATATAGCAAATAAAAACATCATGACAAATAGCGAGACTAAGGAAGGGAGGGATAAGCTTTATATTTTAGTACTTTTAATGGCACATTTTTTCCATCATTTTGAGACCCACATTTTCATTTTGCACTGGGCCTTCCAAATTTTATAGCAGTCCCACACTTGGATGCTGGCTGCTGGGAGCTTTGCTAGCCTCCAGAAACATCTGTGACTTGTGGACTGTTGGTGTAATTTTTTTTTGGCTTAAGTCCTACTCTCAGTGGGATTTCCTGGCTGATCATGCTTCAACTCAGCTTATTCTGGTGCCATAGACTCTTTTGAGATTCAGTCTTGATTCTTTTCACAGTTCAGAATCTCTCTCTGCCTTTATTGTTACCATCATTTATCCAAAGATTTCTTTCTTCTCAGTTATCTCTTATATCCCACTTACTTATTTGTGTGTGCTTGGACCAATCCTATATAGCTTCACGCCTGTGGCTTTGTAGTATTTCTTAATATCCGGTAAGTTAAGTGGGCCATGTGCATTCTTATGGTTGGCTTTGCTATTTCTGGACTTTATTCCTCAGCATATATTTTGGAGAATATTTAAAGTTCTACAAAAAATCCAACTGGAATTTTCACTGGGATTTCATTGAATTTACACATTAATTTGGAGTTATTTGAATCTTCAGAAGACCATAGAATGTCTTTCCGTGTATTTCAATCACCTTTTATGTATTAGAAAATGCTTTTCAAAGTATTGCTATTTCTATATGTTAGGGTTTGGTCATTTGATGAGAATGGTGAATTCTATCCTAAAAAATAACAGACAATTTTTATTCTTGTTAGTCAGTAGCTTTCAATATCTGTATTTTTCTAGGTTGTAGAAAGTTTTGCTTTACTCAATCCACAGAAGTTTGAGAGATTAAATTAATCAGGATTGACTGTAAAATCCTTGGTTATACCAGAGTTATCATGTTATTTAATTTAAATTACAGAGATGGAATTATATTCTTGATATCTTTTGATAGAATGGAGAATGCATGTGAAGATTTTATTTTTTAATCAAGAGTTCATTGACATGAATAAAAACCAATCTGAGTTATTGTTTTTATGAAGATAGGTATTTATACCTATTTCAGGCTGGAACTGGGCTTCTAAGCAAATTTTTAAAAATAGTTTTGAATAAATATATTTATTCTTTGGTTTATACTGGTCTTCTCTAGCTAAAACTTTAAGACAGATTTTCTTGAAGCAATTAGTAGTTTCTCTTATGTCAATGTGTTTAAAAGTTGGTGGCTATTTAAGAGTAGAAACTTAAATAAACATACATTTTACTCATTATATGGCATTTTTTCCATAAGAAATTAATAGTCAAGAGAAGGATGAAAAACTGCTATCATCTTGAGAATCAACTGATTTGGAAAGCTGATTAATGTTGCTATTACACATTCTGTATAAGAAATATTTTCAGACTTCATCAAATGTCAAAACAGGGAGACGCTGGTCTTTAATCAACTGCCTCACATATAGGCTGCCAGAGCAGTGAGAAATGAACTGTCATCAGTTAGTGTGATGGACCAGTGTTATCTCAAAATGCATTTTAAGATGTGAATCACAACTAGTATATGGCGTAATTTCTAATTCTGTACCATTAAGCTTCATAAAGTGTGTTGTTTGGTACATTTTCTTGGTTTGAGGTCAGCGTCCTAACTGTTGTTGCCTTGAAGAGACCTCCCATTAGTGTCTGCATTTTATTTTTATCAGTTGTCCAGCAAACTTGGGATGTGTCATCCCTGCACATTTATCCAATGATCAAGCATGAATGTCACTGTTATGCTAACTTAATCCTCCTGCCTTTTTTTACATCTATTTCTCCCACTCTACTTTCTTCAAATTCTTGAATTAATTGTTAGCCACAAAATTACAGATTTGAGGTTTGAGAACACAAAGCAGGACATTGGGATCAAATAAAGAAATCTTCAGACTTTTTGGTTTTGAGAACTTGGTATATATAATATGCATTGTATTTTTTTCTAATAAATACATGATCTTGAGGAATGATCCCTTTGTGCATGGTTTGCTGGAGAATTATCAAGCCCAAGGAGAAATGGGTGCTATATTCTATTCCAGTGATCCTTCCTGAATTGTGAGTTTCTTCACCTTCATTCCATGATGGAAAAAATTTCCTTGAAGTCTTTTTGGGATTGAGGCATACTCTAGTATTTTCTGCATTGATTCCATGGTATTCTAATGAACTTGCTGTCATTCTCATGAAATTCCATTGAACAAATGAATAACATATTGGTTTGTCAAATCTGGATGGCGTTGTAGATTTCAAGGTGCTAGCAGAAGCTTTTAGTCATATAGATTTGGCAGTTTTCTGAGAGGGTAAATAAATTGTTTGTGGTATTTGTGATCATATTTATTCTTTCTCCATATAGTTTTTATCAAGTATTGAGTAATTTGACCCATATTTTAGTAACGATGTAACACTTTTCTGTTACCCTTCAGAATTTATAATGGCTTTTGTGAAGTAGTTTTCTATTTCTACTTTATTTATCATTAAATTATCAGAAAAATTAAAACCTTCTTATGTTAAAGTAGTAAAAGAACAAGTAAATAGAAACTTTTTTTATTCATTTTGCATTGGATAACATATCAAATTAAGAACACCATGCTAGGCATAAGGATGACGTAAGACAAAGTTCCTGACCTCCCAGTTTATAGTCTAAGAAATACCCTAGGGAAATTTTTGTCTTTAATTTTTATTGTAAATGATTCCACTTTCTTGACATAATCACATAGTCCATCATGAGGAATGAAATGTCTTTCAGAAGTACCTGGTTAGATTGGAAAATACTATGACATTAGAAGATATTTATTGAACTTAGGCATCCTCATAAGTTTGAACCAATGAGAGAGTCTGAACATACAATTATTTGAATTTGAATATTTTTGGTGGAGGAGTGCACTCTCCTGTTTTACATTTTGCCACTCACAGCTGCTTGTGCACTTCCTGGCTTTTTATTCCTGCTTTGCTCCCATAGCGTTTAAGGTGACATCTCCCAGTTTACGCTGCAAATGTCAATAAAGATTACAGAATTATAGAATTCCCTACTTGAGGGTTATAAATGATATTTTAATTTTAAAGTAAAATAAAGATGAAGAAAGTACATTAATAGTCTTCAAAGCTAATATTCAATCAAAATATATCAATATAGCTATACCAGCAGGTTATGCCATATTCATTACGATTAGGCATTTCATTCATTCTGATCGTTGGGTCCATGCTGTACTAGTTGTTAAATATCTTGAATATCAACCCTGATTAATATAATCCCAACGTGGCATCTTTTGTGTGTGTGTTTGTGAGTGTGCGTGCACACCCTTTTCCATTTCTATCCATTGCAAACACTCTACATGCCATGTTTCCTATGAGACAGATTCCTTCAACATCAGTAGGCTCTTTGTTTAACTTTGCTTTTTGCACTAACAAATGACTTCTCGTTCAAGGATGACAAGAGATCAGTTAAGGAGAAAGAAGACTGTTAATCCAAGATGGAATAGGCCCACCCTAATTGAAGAATGGTGAACAAGAATCTGGTCAATGAATTATAACCTCATTTTTAAATTCATTCATCCGTTTGACAATTAATTGTGATGGCATCTTACATAATCATCAGAGGCTTTCCCTGCAAAGTGCATGAAGGTAAATGAACCTCTACTTCAGGCTTGACATCCGTCTTTGGCTCATTGTTGAAGAATACATTATAATGAAAGCAACATACAGGATGCCTGATCACTCAAGTTTGGTGAGGAAGCAAGCAAGATTAATAACACTGCTGTGTAATGAAATAATTTTCCAATTTGAAACACTGTGTCCTTTACTCTTGAAAGAGCTCTTTAATCCTGTGGATTTACACATAGTTTATTTTCATTTTTGTGATTAGAAAAAAATAGTAAATTCTCACTTGAGTATGATTTCTAACTTTAGTAAAAGCAGAGAGGAGGGCTTAATAAAAATTCTTGTTCCTGAGAGGAGTTTGTTGTTGGAATCGCTACTTCACCTGGTTGGGTTTCAAGAGTAAATACTGAAAAATGGAGGGCTTCCCTCTCAGAGTGTGAAGCTGACCCATAAAAAAGAGGCAGGGGCTGATCCAAGAGAGTCTCCAGATGAACCATACCAAATATAGGAATAATTTTTGCAACCTCTGAAGTTGGTCCCTGTTGCGTACAGAGCCTCATGCACTAGTAGAAGCCCCTTGGGGAGCATAGGGCTCTTTTGCAGTCACTTGCCATCAGTTAGACTCAGGAAGCTAAGTACACTGCTGACCTCTCTGGGGTGTACTACCAAAAATTAAGTTACAGTCCTGATAAGGAGTTTAGATGCTACTCCAATAAATGTTCCGATCATAGAAGCCTCCTTTTAACCTCCCAAAACCAAGGGACTTAGGCAAATTCAAGCATCACTTTTCTCAATTTCTATCCATATTCAATCCATATTGGAATATGGATGTTAATATACAGAATTCAAAGTGGGATCATCCAGTTTGTTATTTCCGCTGCAATGATGAAACTGTTTTCAGGAAGGGGCCAGTGATCTGCATCTAAGTATCATGGTAGTGGATATCATGGTGAGTAATTTCGCTGGACTGGAACTGTCTTAGTGGGTCATGGTTCTAACATTCATCCAAAAGTGGGAGAGTTATGTTGGATCTCCAACAGGTTTCATACCAACAGCCTGGGCCCTTTGGTGCAGTTCCACCCTTTTGATTTTCTTCAAGTGTCTTTTTCTACTTCAATCACCAGAAGTGGGAGATTTATTTTTTATCAGCTCATTAACTTTTTTTTTTTTTTTTTAAAGATTTTATTTTTTCCTTTTTCTCCCCAAAGCCCCCCGGTACATAGTTGTGTATTCTTCGTTGTGGGTCCTTCTAGTTGTGGCATGTGGGACGCTGCCTCAGCGTGGTTTGATGAGCAGTGCCATGTCCGCGCCCAGGATTCGAACTAACGAAACACTGGGCCGCCTGCAGCGGAGCGCGCGAACTTAACCACTCGGCCACGGGGCCAGCCCCCAGCTCATTAACTTTTGACTTCTTATTGAGATAAAATATAGCCACACTAGAAATAGATCCATTTTTATTGCTAGCAATTGCTGACAAATACAAGCTTATATCTGTTTTCTTAAAGAAATATATTCAACACTAAAATTAGCATGACAGCTCAAAACTCCCATTTCTTTTTTTCTTAAGGCAAGATATTCACAAACAAAACATTTGCTACATAAACGTACTTGACAACTGGCAACTCCCATTTCCTCTGTTCTGAAGGCAAAGCAATCACAAACAAAAGTTTTAAAGAAAATCCATATACTACATTCATTTGAAGTCCAAGGATTGCCTTGACTGATAGCAGATTAGATCAGCAGAGTAAGGGAAAAGAGAAATGACTGCAAAAGGACCTGGAGTTTTTTTGGTTTTGGAAATTTAAAAAAAATTCTTGACAGCCCAGAATAATCGTTAGATCATTTATTTTCCTTATGAGTTCTTTCTTTGTAACATTAATCATCTTTGCTGCTGCTTGTATCTCTTACCTTTTAATGTGATGTCTTAATATTTAATGTTGAGATATGTTTTTGGAGAGATGGTTCTAATCTTTAGCTGTAAAATCATCTTTCATAGTGTAGGGAATCATATAGTTGAACCCCAAGACATCAAATAGAAAATGGATTTATGACATAAAAACAACTTGGGGAATGACTTTTATAGAGAACAAGGGTGAAAGAATTTTTAAAAATTCTTTATGGGAAAAGAACTTAATAATTTAAAATAGATACAGAGAAGTGAAGTACAAGTGAAATACTCACATAATACAAATCTAGGACTTCTAAAACATGTTAAAATTTTGGGTCATCTTTTGTAGTCTTTGTATGCTTCTATCTCCAGAGCCAGCAATTGAACCTAGGTTCTGAATGTAATGGAAGACATTAATCACTATCAAGTTCATTGTTTTTTTAAATAGCAAGTAATGTTCATATCAGTTATTTCTATCCCACTAAGAAAGGCTAAATATTTCACATAAATGAAACACCACATAATAAGAAATTAAATCCTATGAAACAAAACTTTGACTTTTGAATGTATGGTAACTGAAGATGAGTGGATGGTAATTTCTCCTTATGATTCTACAGGTATCTAATTTATTATTTTCTCATGTATTTGACATTGTAGAGCCCTGCAACCCTTTCAGGGAACCACCATTTAATATGTTTGTCAGAACATTAACCTAAAAATGTATACGATTTTTGATACTTTTGTATCATCTGCCTAAGTAATTACACAAAGATAAACCACATTTTTCTATCAATTTGTTTGGTAACTTCTGCATTCATAGCCCTAATACATTGTGCATATATAGGACTTTGTATTTGCCTGAACCTCTGTCATTCTTCTTTCAGATTTCAGCGTTCATGTTAATGATTCATGATCACTCTGAGCTCACCAATCTTTTGCATCTTCCACTCTAATGATCTTGATCTAGTCTTCATTCAGCACGTAGAGTTTGTCACTCATATTTGACCTACCAAAGATCTGGTACATTGACGTTTCATCCCTGTCTACTCTTATCTTTCTCCTGCTTCTGTTTTCTTCCTCTTCTTCTTCAAGTGCATTATGACATCATTCCCCTCAACTCTCTGAATATTTCCAAGATATTTCCTGCCGTTATCATTTGCTTTTCTGTGTAAATTCTGAACTCATTGGTTAGATACATTATTGTTGTGCTCATTAACCACAAAATCACAAATGTATGGTTCCAGCTTAAATTTCTCTCCTGAGCATGGGACACATATTTCTAACACGTTTCCTGGATTTCTCAAACGTACTTCCAAATCAAAGATCTCTCATACATCTTCTCTAACTTGTGTTCTCTGTTATACTTAAAGTCACTCATAATAGAAACCTTGCCCTCTCAATTTCTTTCTCTTATCTTTCTTAATTATCTCTTTCAGTTAGCAAAACTTGTTACTTCTACTCTCTCTGAACATATCAAGTTTATAGCCTTTTAAAACATCTCTTACAGTATTGCCTAGTTAAGTACCTCATAATCTCTCATATGGAAAATTACAACTTTCCAGAATAGTCTTTTTCTTCCCTTTTTTTCCATACTCCAATACATCTTCCCAATCCAATATTACTCTTTCTGTGTCTAAAATCCTTTATTAGCTCCATACTGTATATAGAAAATTGTCTAAACTTTGCATTTGATATTAAAATCCATTGACTACAAAATCCCATCCTGTTTTTCCAGCTGTGTGTCTCGATTTTCATACTCTAAAAGTCTACATTCTGGCCAACCCAAAATACTTTCCACCTCATACTTATATTCTGTGTTATTTGTTGCACAATTTTTGATGAATCTTTTTTCTTATGCTGGACTGTCCTTCTCCCATCATCACTTACAAAAAATCTTACCTACCTGTCAAACTTCACCTCATATTCTACCTTGTCATAAAGCTTTACACAATGCTTCTAGGAGGAAAAACCATCTCCTTTGTCCTTGTCCCTGGAATATTTTACTTACCCCTTGTTTGAAAACACATACCACATTTTACTGTACTTCTTTTGTGATCTCACATTTAACTTAATTGAAAGGATATTTGTTGAGCATATCCTATATGCGAGGAATGTGTTGAGGACGTGGAATACAGCAGTGAACAGAACAGAAATTCCTGCCCGTTGGGGCAGGGGAGACAGATAGCAAGTAACACACGTGATAAATCAGTTAGTTATACGGTATGTTAGAAGATGACGAATGTTAAAGAAAAGAGAAAAATGAGAGCAGAGCAAAGGGAATCAGGAGCTTTGGGGTGGTATTTTGAGGAAGATTAAATTAGAAATAGAATGGGTAAAACAGGCCACATAGAGGGGATAATTTGAGCAAAAACATGAAGGAAATGACGGGATTAGCTACATGAAAATCTGGGAAATGAACTTCCAGGGAAAGGGGACAGATAGTGCAAGACCCTAGTTTTGAGTGTTCCTGGCTTGTAACAAGGGGGAGAAAATTAGAGATGAAGTCAGAGAGGTAGTAGGCGCCATGTCATATAATGCCATACAGATCATCAGGGATGTTGGCTTTTACTCTGAGAAAAATGAGGAACCATTGGAGGACTTTGAGCAGAGGGGGTGACAGACACTCTATGACTTATGTTTCACAAAGCATCATTCTAGTTGCTGGGTTGAGAACAGACAGTAGGGAAGCAAAAGGAAAAGCAGAAATCCATGTTACCGAGTCCTATTGCCACATCCCTCAGAATATAACTAGAATCTGACCACTTCTGACCTCATCCACTGCTACCACTCTAGTTTCATTCTGTATCATTCCTAGCATGGATTTCCGCTTTTCCTTTTGCTTCCCTCCTGTCTATTCTCAACCCAGTAGCTAGAATGATCCTTGTAAAACAGAAGTCATATGGTATCTGTCACCTACTCTGCTCAAAATCCTCCAGTGGTTCCCCATTGTGGGGGATAAAGGGAATAATGAGATTAGTCCTACTGGAATCAATACAGATTGTGGCAAAGGTGTGAGTTTGGGGGATGGGGAGTGGTTGGATTTTGGAGTGCTCTCTTATTCTGCATCCACTGATAGAGGATCAAGACGATATTTAAAGCCATCTTGAGATGTGGTCTTAGTCTCGTCATACAGACTTCCTCTTGACCTCTATAAAGGGGGTAGAAGATCTAGAAGAGGACTTAATTCAAGTCATTTAGTTGAGCAATGAGTTTCAACCAAATGTGGAGGCTCTACCTTACTCCCTTTGATAAGATTGATAACTATGGGGAAGCTGAGCATCACTCTGTGCTGCCCCTCTTCGTTCCTGATGACAGCTATGAAAGGCCTACGGGTATCCTGGTCTGAATAAACAGAGGCCATCTATACTGTGTTCAGCCAAATGTAACCAACCGCTCAGATGACGTGACAGCCCACATCTGCTTGCTTGGGGCCCGAGGTGTCTCTTTGGAGAGGACTCACATT